ATGAAAAGGTGTATGTGGTCTGCAACAATTTGAAGGTAGGTTGTGCATATCGAAGTAGCAGCCACATGAACGCCATAACCCAAGGTTTCCCAGCAGAATGTTGCCCAGAGCATAATACTGTCTCTGCCAGCCTGCCTTCTTCCCACAGAGCATCCTGCTGCCATCTCTTCCCCAGGTAATCGAGGCACACGCCCAAATCTAAAAACGAATGTGATTCATTAGACCATTACTGATATTACTCCATGGTCCAGGCATTCATACTTCCATTGAATTTGCTTTCGGCAATGGACAGGGGTCATCATGGGCACTCTGACAGGTTTGCAGCTATGCAGCCCCATACACAGCAAACTACAATGCACTGCGTTCTGAAACCTTTATATTTATTTATAAAATATTTTACCAGGAATGATACTTTGCGATTTCTCTTGTTTTCAAGTATGTCCTGGGTCCACAAAACAATGCATTGATACAATAGGGTATAATAAAATACAAAAACAATATTAATACAAAATATATACACAATTTAACATAGAACAGGTAAGAAATATATAATCAACCATGACAGATGCATTCTGTTTTGAGATATGTAGAGAGGGATCTCTTAAAGTATTTTAGGCTTAGGGAAGATTTAAAAGTGTGTGGGTGCTCTATAGGAGAAGGAGGATCGAGCCGCATGATGGCAATTGCATTATTTACATATTGCTACCCCAAGACCAAGGCAGGGGCAACCGTTAGGCAAACTAGACATTCGCCTAGGGCAGCAGCCTGCTGGGGGAGCCCTCCGGGATATTTCCTGGTGGACTTCGCCTGTCTTAGGGCTGCAGCGCAGGCAGAGACCTCAGGGGAAAGTGCTCCCTCGCCTCCCGCCCGCCCGACTGCCTGCATGTCCGGCCGTGTCCCTGCCCAGTAGCCCCACTGAACCCCAGATGAGAAATTCACCCCCCTATCCCAAACGTAGGGAGCCTGGGTGAATTTAAATTTAAAATAAATAAATATTAATAATAATTGTGAGTGTGGGGAAATGTGGGTGTCAGCGAATGTAAGTGTGTTAGTGAATGTGAGTGTGTGTCAGTGAATGTGAGTGTGTGTGTCAGTGAATTTGAGTGAGTCTGTCAGTGAGTGTGTGTGTTGGTCAGTGAATGTGTGTGTTGGTCAGTGAATGTGTCTGTTGGTCAGTGAATGTGTGTGTCTGTCAGTGAGTGCGTGCGTCTGTCAGTGAGTGCGTGCGTCTGTCAGTGACAGTGTGTGTCTTTCAGTGAGTGTGTGTGTCTTTCAGTGAGTGTGTGTCCGAGTAAGTGTATGTCTGTCTATCAGTGTGTCAAATCAGTGAGTGTGTGTATGTCATTGTTTGTCAGTGTATATGAGAGTGTGTGTCTGTCAATAAGTGTATGCATCTATCAGTGAGTGTGTGCGTCTGTCAGTGAGTGAGCGTCTGTCAATCAAAGTGCGGCCTTGACAGGAAGGGGTGGGGGGTGCCCAAGCACTGTCCTGCCTAGGGCAGCCCAAATCCTAAATACACCACTGTGTGTGTGTGTGTCTGTCAGTGAGTGTCTGCCTGTGTTTTTGTGTGTGTGTCAGTGAGTGAATCTATGTCAGTGAGTGTCTGTAACAGTGAGTGTGTGAGTGTTTGACCGTCAGTGTGTGTGTGTATGTATGTCAGTGAATGTCTCTTTTTGTGTGTGTCTGTCAGTTAGTGTATGTATGTCAGTGAATGTCTGTGTGTGTGTGTGTCTGTCAGTGAGTGTATGTCTTTTAGTGGGTGTGTGTCTGTCTGTCAGTGTGTGTATCTGTCAGTGAGTGAGTGTATGTCTGTCAGTGAGTGTATGTGTGTCAGTGAGTGAATGTCTGTCAGTGAGTGAGTGTATCTATGTTAGTGAGTGTCTGTGTGACAGTGAGTGTGTGAGTGTTTGAACATCTGTGTGTGTGTGCCTGTCAGTGAGTGTCTGAATGTGTGTGTGTGTCTGTCTGTCTGTGAGTGAGTGTATGTATGTCAGTGAATGTCTCTCTTTTTGTGTGTGTCTGTCAGTTAGTGTATGTATGTCAGTGAATGTCTGTGTGTGTGTGTATGTGTGTGTCTGTCAGTGAGTGTATGTCTTTTAGTGAGTGTGTGTCTGTCTGTGTATGTGTGTGTATCTGTCAGTGAGTAAGTGTATGTCTGTTAGTGAGTGTATGTGTGTCAGTTAGTGAGTGTATGTCTGTCAGTGAGTGAGTGTCTCTGTGTATGTGTGTGTGTGTCTGTCAGTGAGTGTGTCTGCCAGTGTGTGTCTGTCAGTGAGTGAGTGACATGAGGGGGCGGCAAAATTGATCTAGGGCGGCAGAAATCATTGCACCAGCCCTGCCCAGGAAAAGCCCTAAATTATGGTTTTATACACCCTAATTTTGGGAAGTCTGCTAAGGTTTAATTTATGCTCCTTTAAGCTCACATATAAACAATGCGACAATACAACTCACATACTGTATGGAATTGCTAAGTTCCAGAACCACCTGGGGCTTGGGTCCAATGGAAAAACTTAATGACCCCTATGCTCATCAGCCTCATGAATGCCAGAGCCTAAGGATTCCCAGGTGTAGAGGTCATTAACTCCTACATTAACTCCTATGTCTAAGGACCGAGTGGTCCAAAACATATAAGGAAGATTTTTCTTTGACTTTTGTTTTCCCCTGTTTGTTTTTGCACCTTGTGAAATAAACCTTTTTTCTTTTGTATTCGGAGAGCTTGAGCTTCAATGTGATCCCGCCATGCTGTCTAACTAGGAGAGGAATGAGCGGCAAAGTTCTGTTCTCCAGCATCCCCTCTCAATAGTTATCTGGTGGCACAACCAACTGCTTAGTAGTCTGAGACAGCACTATACTACTTTTCATAACAGACAGCTGTGTTGAAAGCAGTTGCCTTAAGTAAAATTACTAATATTTAAAAAAAAAACTGTCCTCTCCACTATAGACATTCAGTGTTGAAGAGCCATACATCTGGGGGCTTAAGACCCCAGAGCCCCCCTCTCTCCACAATGTCTATGTTGTATGATACAGGGGAAAGATAGAAAATAATTACACGTTATGTTATTATTTATTTATCCATGTCCCATTATACATGTATGATGTACATTATAGTGTCTTTCTAGTAAAGCTAATGCTTCTTTCAAGGCTAGACAATTTATTGTAATTTAATTTTGCAGGTTGAGAAAAAATTCATGGCATTTAAAAAAAAAAAAAAATTAGAAATACTATTCATTATAAAACATTTTTTTTGCTTGATTGTCATAGCTCTCCTAAAAGTAACTTTTGGTTTCTCTGGTAATAAGCAATTTAAGACTAAATCTCGATTCAATACCAACTAGTATCTATATTTTATTTTAGAAAAACCTTACTTTGGCTATTGAACTTCACAATAATAGCTAGTTCTCTATTATCTGACAACGGCTTTTTTTATATTCAATTAATGCTTTTATGTTAACATTTTCAGCCTACCTCATTGTTCGAAATACATTGGTCATCATACCAATAGATACTATAAAAAAAAAAAAAGGAAACAAAAGCTGTTTTGAACAATTACAATTGATGCTGCAAAAATTTGACAATTGACAGCAATAACACAAAATACAATCAAAAGACTGAAATACAATTACATCTACTAACAAATCACTGTAGTAAGGAAATTAATACATACATGTCACATTAAGCTGCAAAGAAAAAAAAACTTTCCTTTAACTATGAAATAAAAAGAACTACTTTTTATAAAGGAAACAATAATAATACTTTTTAGAAAGGAAACAAGGATAATTGGAAACACTCACATGGTGCAGAGCTATGTCCAGGCTCTGCATAATTGGATTTGTGTGTATCTTCAAAGGGTCTTCTGCCCAATCCACAGGTGTTTCAGAGAAATAGCAGGTAACGAGGACTCACAGCGTATCACTATTGTAAAATGTATATTTAAAAGGAATAGGTTTACTTAAAAAAAGAGGTTAGATACATATGAGAAACCTGTTGCATTCAATATGAATCATGAATACTATTCACGGCTTCCTTGAGATAATCTTCCTTTTATCTCTTGAATCCAAATCTAATTCCCCTGTAAAGTATATAAAAAGATTAATGCACTACAAAAATAAAGATTCAATTTTTTTTCACATTACAGAAACTTGGGTGGGGGTGCTTAAAATTTCCCTCTTTTGTCACTAAAATAGAAGTAAGGAAGAATGAGAATTAGAAGAGGGTGAAAAATCCAACAAAATGAAAAGGAGAAGAAAGGACTTTCAAGAATTCTCAATTTAACAGATACTGGCAGAAGCAATTGCATGCATACTAAATAAAGGATTACAATACGAATATTTAAATCTTTCAGTATCTCTTTTTCAGGCACCTATTCTCCACTACATCTTTGTTAGGGAAATGCAAAATACTGTTCTCGAGCTATAATCCAAATGTAAAAGGACACTTTAAGCACCAAAACAACTTTATCTAATGAGGCCACAAGAGAATAAACCTTTTTGAACGGGGGGTGGAGCTTGACAGCCGAGACAAGCAGCCGCAATACTTTGGAGCTCCAAGGCACAAACAAGAAAAAAAAAAAAAAAACCCATACAAACTATGCCTAAACCACGGCAGAAACCCCAAGCTTACACCCTAACAAAATGGGACGCAAAACAAAAAAAACAAACCCAGAAAAAACAACCCGGGACTCACCATAGGAGACATGTGGAGGCAGGCCCAAGGCGCAAACGAAGCCAACATGGCGGCACTCCACGGGGAATGCTCGGACTTCTCCGATGACCTCTCAGGAGAGGAATACTTACCAGCCCACATGGTGGGAAGGCCCTCACCACCGACCAACGCCACACGGGACTCCACACCAGTGACAGTGTCGATCCTTAAGCAATTATTAGCGGACCACCATGACGACATCCATAAGGACATCACTGCACTGAGGGGAGACCTAAAAGGGGTGACCACCCGCCTAAATACAATGGAGAACCGAACCGAAACAAATACCAGGGACATAGGGGAACTCAAACGTACTGTGCAGGATCTGCAGCTACAGCAACGTTCCCACGAATACCGCATGGCCGAGCACGAAGACGCCAGACGGCATAAAAACCTGAAAGTTAGGGGGCTCCCGGAGGAAATAACAGATGCAGAGCTACCACAGGTCATCAAATGCCTGCTCGCTATGATACTGCCACCCGCACAAGCAGTCCACATACACCCAGACTACCTCTTCAGGGTCCCCAAATCACCAAAGGCACCTACCGGGACCACCAGGGACGCCATAGTTGCTTTCCGGAACAGAATTGACAAAACGGCAGTACTGGACACCCTGTAGGGCAGGACACCCCTACAATTCGATAACAGGGCACTGAGTTTCTACACTGACCTCTCCAACAGCACCTTAGTATGGAGACGATCCCTCCAGCCACTTACCATCCTTCTCCGCCAAAAGGGCCTCAGATACCGCTGGCGACCATCCCACACCCTAACAGTCCAGCAGGGACCGGACTCACATCAGGTTTGGGACTTGTGCGACGCAGCACCGCTCCGACAATCATTGGGCCTACCTATGGACTCCCTCAACCCAAAAGGCCAGAAGAGCCCAGTATCCCCGCAGCACAGATGGGACCCGACCAAAACTGTCCCGTTCATGTCACAAGGCCTCACACCCGACCCATACGTTGATGTTACCACCTGAACTGCAACGGGCAGCTGCACGGGATACCTGACAGGACGGCAAGAACAAGTACACCAAACATGCTGCACACCCGGGAGATCTGGCATTAACCCCTGACATCCTCTACACTTTCCCCCTAATGATAGATGTTTAATCTGCTGTACTGCAAACCGCATTGCCACAACATGGACTAAGGGTGAAGGTTTGCAGTAGCCTCTCTCCCTGCCACAACCCCGGGCAGCAGAGCAGACTTAAATGGGTATCCCCCTGCTTATTATCTGACAGTCAGCGGTTTTTAAAATATGACCTAAAATGTTTGTATGTTTAATAACACAAACAACATTACATATACTTCTGCAACACAGGCTGGAAGAGCCCACCATTGCCTCCACACTTAAATGCTAGGACACTAGAACACTCACACACCTGTTACAAGCGCCATACCCTTAGAGAAAACCCATAACCTGCTACTAACCTGCTTTATGTGAAGGCACTAGCCTGACTTTGCTCCCATGACACACAGGTCCGGAGTATATATGCAATGTTTGTTTTACTATGTTTTGTTCCTCTCTCTTCTCCTTGTTGTCTCTTCCCCCTCGGATATGACAAACTGCCTAAACAGCATGTAATCAACCTTAAATCATTTAACTTAGTCTATCACCAAGCCACCCGATCAATAGTATTATACACGCAACCTGCCTGTAACGAGAGAGGTGGCCAGACAGACCCTACCAGACAACATCTACAATGCATAACATAGACTAATACTACCATAACAGACAGGAAACCGCTTGCAGTTTCATGTTATGACAACCCCACTGTTCCTTCAACCTACTCTTAAAAAAAAAAAGTGCCATTTACTTTTAAGCAATCCCATACCTGATATGCCTGTTAATATACTACCTGTAACTGCTATTGTGGCAGAGCAGGTATACTGTTATTTTATGCACAAGGAAAAATAAAGAATTTAAAAAAAAAAAACCTTCTTGAACGGTTTATCCCCAAAGTTGCCTCCAACAACTCCCGTCCTTGGTGGCATCCAGATTCAGGAGTGCCGTTGGGCAGGGGCGCAAATTAATTGTCTGGGAAGGGTTAGCTGGCACTCTCAGCTAATCAATGACTCCCCATTCACAAAGCTGGCTTGCAAAGAAACATACCTCTGGGGCCTCCTGGCACCATAACAACTTCATTTAGATGAAGTTGGTTTGGTGCCTGGAATGTCCCTTTAACAATTGATTAATTTGGATTTCAATATTTTCCTGACATGCCGCCCTTTTTGTATAACTCACTGAAATCACTTTATTGAAGGCGTCTTGTATCAAGGGGCACTCTGAAAACAATGCAACTGAAGTGTATGTGAAAAAGAAAGAGTTTGCAGCTTTCTGTAACTTAAGAAAGCTGCAAACTCTTTTTCCCTTAATCACAGCTCCTTTTTTAGAAAAATGTGTTCCAGATTGAATTCCATTTCAGTGTATATAGGCCTGTCGTGATTGGGCCACCACAAACCATTTTCTTATCTTTTGCATTATATGATTATATTAAATTGTATTTGTCTATTAGGACATCTATTTTAAGAGGATGCGAAATGTCAGTACAGGATCTATTTTGTCTTGTGGCGCAACATCCCCTCTACATGTCTATTTTAATCTTCTCACTTCACCAAGTATTACACTTCTCATTGTCACAGCTCCAGGTGTGCTCCTGGCCAGCAAAATAAAAAAGTGAGGTGAAACGATGAGTTGGCTTTGGGAGTCGCAGCCTGCCGAGGGCTGATGGCAGTGACTGATACGAACTTTTGGACAAGGAAGTGGGATCTGTCTGTTTGGGGGAAGTTACCCAACAGCTGTCAGTTAGATGGAATGCTGGTCCATTAAAAAGCTGGAAAAGTTTATAAAACTGTGGCCATTGCCCTTACCCATAATTCTGGTCTCAAGTGTTTTTGTTGGGGGCAACTGAGTGTGGGGACTGGTCAGCAGTCATATGGGAACCAATCATACAGAGTGCATTATAGGAGGGAGTTAAATAATTTTGCTATTGTTGTCCTAGTCACACCTTCTCTGTCTGAGATTCTCACAGCCTCCCTTCCAAAGAAGAGTTGTAAAGATTCATTCATTCATTCACTTATTACATGGACGCTGTGTGAGATATGGACGGTGTGGCAAATGAAGGGATTTCGTTTCTAAATGGCAAAAAACAGACCAGTGAGAATGCAGGGGCATTATTTATACACCAAAACCAATTAATGAAGCTAAAGTTGCTTTAGATCAGGGGTTCCCGTGGAACCCTTTAACATAGTGTACCAACATCGTGGAACCCCACGACCCACCCCCCAAAAAAAAAAAATTGCACCATTTTAATTAGCAAAGTGTAATGTTTTCATTTTTTCCGCAAATAATTTTTTGGGGTATACATACAATTATTTATACAGACAGTAAACATATTGTAGTACTTAGGAGCAGGTGTGCTTTTGTGTGTAGAGTTGATGTTTGTATGTAATGTTTGCATTTGTGGGTAGGGGTGTGATTGGATGTAGTTTGGGCTTTTAAATGCATGTTTGTGGTATTGGTGAGTGAAGGGTGTGTTTGTATATAATTTTGGAGTTTGAATTCAGGGGTATTTTTGTGTGTAATGTTTGTGTTTGCTGGGGTGTGTTTGCATGTTGTGTAGCTGTTTGATTGCTGGGTTGAATGCACATACACTGTCACATACATACTTACACAGATATACATACACATTAACACAGAGATACACACAAACACACTTCACATATACACACACATTCATAAACACACAGACACAAAGATACACACTGACATATGAACATATCTTGACACATAGATCCACACACTGGCACAGATACACACATATACACAGACATATACACACTCAGATAAACACAGTGACACACGCACACCTTAACACACAGATACACACACTGTATCTGTGTGTTACATATAAGATACACTCAGATACCCACACTGACACATACACACTGACACACATAACCTGTTGTGTGCAGGAGGGTGACTTGCTGGCTGTGGCTGGTGTGTGTGGGGGGAGCTGCTCACTCCCAGCAGCTGCCTTTCTCCCTCCAGCATTGCATTTTCTTTATGAAGCTGGGAGGAAATGACTTCCTCCCAGAATCCCATACTACAGGGGGCTCGGTCGCCCAACTAATCGGCCACGGTGCTAACCGGGTCCCTCTGCAGCAATGCCTATTGGATGGCTCCTTAGGGTTTTGTGGAACACCAACTGGAAAATGCTGCTTTAGAGTATCCCTCTAAAGAATATCTCAATGCCACATAGTACTTGTAAACTGAAAAATAATTTAATCTTCTCTCTGTAATATGTGGTCTCGAAAACTGCAGCACACTCTTGTCAGAATTGTCTCTCTTGTATCTGCCTCCCTTTAGTCCTTTATAAACAACTCCGCTACATTCATTGACCTCATACATTGTTCATCACCTGCTTAGCCACTATATAAACCTCACCATTTACTCCTCATATATTACAGAATACAATTCAAACTCTTGATCCATCCCAAAAAATCTCTAACTACATCTTTGTCCACCTGTCCTCTTCACTCTATCCATGACTTGCATCTTTCTTCTCCTCTCATTACTTCTGCCCACTCCTCTATCCATTTATATACAATTTCTTACCTTTCTCAATCAAACCACTCCTCTCTTTTATCATAAATATTCATAAAATTACAAACTTTTTATTTATTTCCCCACCTTAAAGGAAGTTTGTATTCCTGACATTATAGCTATAATAATGATATTTAGATTCCCGGCAATCCTGTCAACAAGGTAAAAGGTGAGTTTACTCACCTTTATTCCAGCACCCGGCCACCCGTTCTGCCTCCAGGGCTGAGATCATCAAACTTGCCGATCTCAGCCAATCAAATGCTTTCCCATGAGGAACATTCAGCGTCTCCATTCAGAGCATGGAGAGTGACTGAGTGACTGCCACTGGAAGTGGACCTAGGCAGTAATGTAAACAATGCATTTTCTCTGAAAATGCAGTGTAGCGGAGTAGCAGTATAATCCACGGTATCTCTGCTGGTAGTCAGGATAAAGCAGGTAAAACACAGGCAGTGTAATAATAATCCCTCTTCCTCAAGGACTAGACGACACATAGTCTGGGATTCAACTGTCAACTGTCATTTTATTCCACGGTCACAGTATTTATGCAAGTCCCCATGCAAGGGGTTTCCTGAATGACATTGCAGGGGTTTTACTACAGAGGACTGTGTGGGGAACTTAGCCTGCAAGGCTGCTTCCCAGCATGCCTTGCTGTACAGGAGAGATAATTGTGCAAGAATGTACTGTTAATCACATTATCTCTCCGTACAGCAAAATATACAGTTTTACATTAAAAAAAAACCATAACTGATATAATATACAGACGAATGCTACACACAGCATATAAACTGAGGTTTTTACCCTATTTTGTGGTTGCATTAAACCAACGGCTGGTTATAAAATTATTTAATGAATAGAATTGGATTTTGCATCAACCTTCAACATATTATATGATTTAGGGATGTTAT